TATGGGGTTTATGGGCTATTTTGGTACAATAATTCAAACTTTTTAGCGAATTGCTAAAGCGCAAATGTTGGTTAGCATGAGAGTGTAGAACCTTTGGAAGCCATAGACACAGGACAAAGTTACAACAACATGTAGATTTATGGTACACATTTGATGGAGATGAATAGCCACCACAGGGGGCAAGGTAGGAAACCAGGTCCAGTTCCTTTCTCTTTCTTGAATAAAAGTTTTAAGCCTTAAGGGAAAGGCAGCAAAGTGTATTCTCCCCAGGGTATGATGAAGACCTACTGCAGATGGGAAAGGGTAAAAAACATCCTCCACTTCTGAAGGAAGGGCAAGAATTAGTTGTGGGCCCAAACAATTAGAAGTATCCCACCACTAGAAGAGGAGAAGGATAACTAAGAAAGTCCCACTCCCATAACCCAGAGGCACAGGATCTTAAAATACTGAGGTTGAAACAGAGAAACAGAAATTCTACCTGCCCACACTACCAGACCAATGATCATTTAATAAGAAGCAGTAGCAGTATACCATTAGAGGAGGACAACAGGATGGAGAGAGAACCGCTTTGAGGCACAGATACACAGGGAGGATGTAAAGTTGAGGAAAGAACAAGGATATTAAGAAAAACTCTCCAGAAGGCAAATCCCCATACTATGCACAAGGTAACAGGAATCTGAAGCTGGTAGTGAACTGAGAGTAACCATATCAACAACATAACCCAAATGTTCTTTATCTTCTTATTAGATTGAGTGAAGCTTCCATATAAACAACCTAGCTGTAAAAGTGTGCCCATGTCAAGAAATAAGTACTGTTTACTTTAATCTCTACTGTTCTACATACTATGTCAATTAAATAAAAATTGTAAAACAAAGCAAAAAAAAAAAAAAACGTTCTCAAGAGACAAAGCAATCAGCATAACCAGCCTCAGAGATTAATTAGATGTTGAATCCATCAGGTACAGAATTTAACATAACTATGATAAATACATGAAACGCTTTACTGAAAAATATGGAAAACATGAATAGATAAATAGGGGATTTCAGTAAAAATGTTAACTATTAAAAAATCAAGTAGAAATGCTAGAAATAAAAAACAGCAACATAGCTGAAGAATGTCTTTGGCAGTCTCATCAGTAGACTTGAAACAGCTGAGAAAGAAATCAGTGAAAGTGAAAATAGAAAAAAAGTGATCCAAACTGAAACACAAAGACAGAAAAAGAAAAAAACACACGCAAACACACTCCAAAACAGAGCACTGAATAACTGAGGGATAGTATCAAAAGGCCTAACACATATCAGATTGTATTTCCAAAAGAAAAAGATAGAAGATAGGGTAGAAAAAAATATTTGAAAAGATAAAGGCCAAAAGTTTCTCCCAAATAATAAAATATGTCAGACCACATGTCTAGGAAGCTAAGAGAACCCTAAAGATCTCTAATCTTTATCTCAGATAAATATTCTTTCAACACACACACACACACACACACACACACACACACACACACACACACACACCTCTCCAGACATTTCATATTTAAACTGCTGAAAAACAAAGACAAAAAGAAAAATCTTGAAGTCAGTCAGAGAAAAAATACAAAGGAGCAAAGGTAACAATTACAGCAGACTTCAGAAACTGTGTAAGTCTGAAGACAAAGTGGCATGTTAAAACTGTTGAGAGAAATAAAAAATAATAACTGTCAATCCACAATTCTATAAACAGTGTGAATATCTTTCAAAAATGAAGGATATTCACTTTTCACACAAAAGCAGAGAATTCATTACCCAGAAGCCTTGGACTATAAGAAATATTAGAGGAAGTTTTTCAGCCTAAAGTTCTACATACCAGAAAGAAAGCTGAATCTACAAAAAGAAATGAAGATTACAGAAATGGTTAAAATAAAGATAAACATAAAAGACTTTTTCTGCTTTTTAATTTTTATAAAAGATAATTGATTAGCTAAATTTTTAAATTGTAGTAGTGAGAATAGAAAAAAGAGTGAGTATAGGGAAACTATAGTAGCTTTGTGAGTTTGTGGCATATGTAAAAGCAAAATGTATGACAGCAATAACCACAGCACACCAGTTGGGACACCACGCAGTGAACAGGTAGAATACACCTTGAATCTAGTCTGTGATTAGTTTAAGATGTATGTTGAAAATCTCTATTATGGTGGCAGTTATATGACTGTATGCATTTGTCCATACTCATAAAGTTGTACACTTAGAAGAATTAATCTTACCAAATATATATTGTATCCCAATAAACCCTGCGTTTTAAGCAAGGATATTCACATGCACAACTTACCTTTTTACGCTCTTACTTTTCTTCTTTTGGTGGCATCACAGTTCATTATCACATGAATGATAACGAGTAACCATCTTTCTGTGTTGTCTAATTTTAACCTTGCTTCTTACCTTATATGACTCTGAAGTTCTTATTTCTCACATCTGGTGACTCTATACATTTGAATCAGAACAAGCATACACACACACACACACACACACACACACACACACACACACACACTTCACGCATACCCTAAGGAATTAAAATGTACATAGAGCCATGGAGACTGTAAATGTACCATAAACATTCTATGTATAAGATGTAGGTATCTATGTATAAGGTGGCAAAACTGACCTAGATCACGTAAATGTTAAGTAATCGTACACTACAGGATGCAATTGAGGTAGCATAAACAATATATTTCAGTCTATATCGTATCACCGTCTATAGCTTATTGATTCTGTTAATAGATATGATCAAAATGGTTTGAAAAGGTTTGGTCGTGAATACTGGCATTCTTTCTATTCCCTGTATTCACCAAGGTTCTTTCTGTTTTTAAGACCTGTCCATATGCTATTTCTACTACTCAGTTTCTATGCTATGAGTGCTTTATTTAATGTATTATTTAATTATTTTTGTTTTTAAAGAGATAGGTCTTGTTCTGTCACTAGGATTGGAGGGCAGTGGTATAAGCATAGTTCACTGCAGTCTCAAGCTCCTGGGCTCAAGTGATCCTCCTGCCTTAGACTCCTGAGTAGCTAAGACTACAGGCTTATACCACTGCACCTGGCTAATTTTTTCTTTCTGATTTTTTGTAGAGATGGAGTCTTGTTTTGTTGCCCAGGATGGTCTCTAAGCTCTGGCTTCAAGCAATCCTCCTGCCTTCATCCTTCAAACATTGGGATTACAGGAGTGAGCCACAGTGCAAGGCCCTATAGGCTCTTTTATGCAAAGTTTAAAAAGCATCCCCCATTCCTACCTGGGCAGATGCATAAGAAAAGAAGCCCCTCTGGGTAGATGTAGTCCCAAAGTTGCAAGACTTGGCAAAAAAAAAGACACCCTTATCAGAAGCCCCTTTCTCTGGGCTTATGCTAGGACACCTTTACACAACCTATGTGTAGAGGACCTGTGATTAGTTGGCTATAAGGATCAGCCTAAGGACAGCAATCTAGTTTTTGAGTGACAGGCCTGGGAAAAAGGAGCACTGTGATTGTATAGAATATTACGCAAGGTTGAGAAAATGTCAACTCTCCATATTAAAGAGTAGAAGTGTACCTGTTCAGTGTAATAGGGCTACTAAAGCACCCCATCCCCAAACCAGCCCTTAACACTATCCATACCTCCACCTAGAATGTATTAACATCGTCCTCCACAACCATACCTTTTCTTGGTTACCTTGTATTTATCCTCCTGGTAACAGTTTAACTGTCACTATCCCTTTCCAGAGAATGGGAGATCAACACAGACCTTTCTATCTAAATTAAGCCCCTCCCCTCCTGCTTTATGCTTTTATAGCACTAAGAATTTTCTTACAGATCATATATCACAGTTAAAATTATAGTCATCCCTGAGTATCTGTGTGGGATTGGTTTCAGGGCCTCCTGCGGATATCAAAATCAGGGGATGCTCAAATACCTGATATATAATAGCATAGTATTTTTTTTTTGCATGTAACCTATGTATATCCTCCAGTATACTTTAAATGATGACTAGATTACTTATAACATCTAATTCAATGCAAATACTATATAAATAGTTGTTACACTGTATTGTTTAGGGAATAATGACAAGAACAAAAGTCTGTACATGATGCAATTTCTTTTAGCATTTTTGATCCAATATTGGTTGAATACATGGATGTGGAACCCACAGATACAGAAATATACAGTTATTTGTGTGCTTACTTATGTAATGTGTGGCTCCCCCAGCATCCCCCACACATATCACATATACATACTTAATCACATACCTTTTCAACCATAAGCCCCGAAAGAGCAAGGAACTTGTCAGCTTTGTTCATCATTTTATTCCCAGAGACTATCACAGCACCTGGCGCATACTTAGTGTTTAATAAGTAATCATTAAATAAATTCAGATTATTTCTTGTTAGATTCTTTAGAAAATTTTATCATACTTGTGCACACTCAAGCACCAGAGTATGATATAGAATGTTATGGAAAGATTCCTTTTAATAACATTGAGTTTTCAGCTGAATGCGAGTAATTAGAATGGTATGGATGCATACTATAAAACAAGTGATATTTTATTTGGGTATATCTTATTTGAATTATTTCCATTTTCCATTGGTGACTTTATTTATTTTCTGCTAATTTTTAGATGTTATGTTTGGTTGGATGTTTCAGTATAGATTAGCCAATCCATTCCTTTTGTGATAATAAACAGTAATTCTTACAGATGTCACTGAGCTATCTAATTTGTTTTATATTTCAAAGTGAAATGCCACATTTTGGCATTATTTGATTTGTTGTGTCAATGACTGACTCACAATCTTTGTTGTCATTAGAAAATGAATGAATCTGGGGAGAAATGCCAAATGTGGGTGAATGGGAGAAAGGAAGCAAAACACACTGCCATGTGTGTACCTATGCAACTGTCTTGCATGTTCTGCACATGTACCCCAAAACCTAAAATGCAATAAAAATCTTTTTAAAAAAAGAAAATGAATGAATAAATAATGTAAGTCAACTTACCAAATAGATTCTGCCATAAGTACCAAGGCCAATGGTTTTATCTAGTGAGAATATTCCAGTGGGATCCTGCAAAAAAGTAAAACAAAAGCTGTCAGTTTTCTTAGGAAATGAGGCGATCATTCAACTATATTAAATGGTATTTCCAATCTGCCTGGTTCCATTAGATTTTACATGGGAAGAACCTAGGTTTCATTTACCAAAAAATAGACATGTCACAATCCCCTTGAACTGAGTATATTCATTTATAAAAAAGAAAAAGTAATATGGACATTAAGTAGTCATGTAATTATTTATCATCAAACTGTAAAACTCACACAATTATCTAAAGCTGAGGCATATTAATGATGTAATTAGAAATATAAAATAGAAATAAGCTTATTTATTTGCAATGGAAGTATTCTTTTAATATTGATCTTTTGCGTGATAACCAGACAAGCAGAAAATTTAACATGCAACATTGATGACTAGATGTTCGATACAAAGTCAAGATTACTTGTTTGAATTATAGGTTGATGCAAAAGTAATTGCGGATTTGGCATTAAAAGTAATGGAAAAACCGCAATTACTTTTGCACCAACATGTAGCAGCTCTTAAGAAAGAAATACCATCTCTGAATATGAATAACGAAGCGAGATCATGATATTAAAAGAGCATCACTTTAAGGAAACTAGACAAATTTTTTAAAGTTAAGCTTTGCATCTGCTGAATACCTTTTCATGGCACAAAGTGACATTTTATGTGACTTAACCCTAAATGTGGCATCATAGGAAATAAAACATACCATGTTTTGGGACAGAGTTGCGAGGCTTCCATATTTATCTTCAAGCATTGTTTTCTTACTTTTAAATATGAGTACTCACCACAAAACATGGTTTCTTGAATTTCATCACTGAACTTTTTGTCTAGCGGCCTATTTTCCTGTTTTAGCAAAACTTATATGAGGCATGAATAGATGCCAATTTATACACAAAATGGTAAAAACATTGGCACATTCTTGGAAATTCACATACCTTATAGAAATTTATTTTATTTTATATACACAAAAGTTATTTAATCCTGTTTGAAAACATTTTTATTGCTGTGACAAATATAAACTAAACAGGAAAACTATTGAACATATGCAACATAGATGAATGAAATTATAAAGTCCTTAAAATTTCCATGATATTTGTGTAATCTAGCAAAACTGTTACAGGAAAATGACACAGCTTTGAGATTACATCATTCAATAAGTATTCAACTGGACAGGGTCAGAAGACTTGAATTTTAGCCCCAGCTCTACCATGAACTATATGACTCTGGGTAAATTATTTACTCTCTCTGAGATTCAGTTTTCACATATATAAAATAGAAGTGTTGTGATAGGTGATCTCCAAGCTCTAAAATTCTACAGATATAAATCATAGCCTATCAATCATTCTAAAATCTAGATGTTCCCACTGAATTGATAAAATTATTGTTAGATAAAGCAGCAGCCTAGCAGCTTAGTCTTTCAAAATGCTCATCAAAGTTAAGATCATAATACACACAGTTATCATTTCAAACAAATAGTTCAGGAAATATATTCCCAATGAAAATGAAATTTATCTAAAATGATAATTTTTAGAATCTAAGGAGTAAAAATGGATCTTTATATTATCCTTATTATTAAGTATATCACTCATGTTATAACTAATTGAAAGATTCATGAGAGACAAGCCAACAAAAAAGTTACTATGGACTGACTTGAAGACTTTTATCACTGTAGCAATGGAGAAACAGCCTTTGGCCATCTGTCAAAATAATCTAACATGTTAGCTGATTCCTATTGGTAAACTATTCTTTGCTATATTTAAGGCTACATTTTAGCCAGAAAAGATACCACAGATTAGAGAATTAGTGGAACATCTGCACAACCTTTATTTGTGAATCTTTGAGCACAGTCTTAGATTTCTTTATTTCTTTCTCTAGTCCTCAATCACATAAATACCTTACATTGACTTGAATATAGTTATGTAATTACTCAAAAAAGACACCAAGGAAATGGACTAGAGTAATTAAAGGACTGCAGAAATTCATGGAGGCCTCATATCTATGTTAGGAAACTTGTTTTCTGCTTGCAAATGACCAAACAGTCTTAATTATTTTCACACTCATGCTTAATAAAAGAAAAATTTTAAAAATTCCCTCTGAAATGCAGCTCAACTTTGTATTCATATAGTCTAAGACTATATTGTTTTCACGAGTTGTATATTCTAGTTTTTGTTCCTGATCTCCATGCTACTGTCTTTCAAGACTATATGTTTAATTGAGAAAAAGAGGAGAAGGACTATGCTTAATATAAGGTTAACAATGCCAAATTCCTCATATCATATTTTGCACTTATAGTCAGAGCAAGTTTATTTTGGATTTCCAAGGAAGGGAGCATTGAAAAGGAACATTCTTTTTGGTCACTGTGAAAATAAAAGGTCCACATCAGAGAGGTCTCCGCAATCATTTGGTCCTTTCCTGGGCCTTGCCACCTTGAGATAAGAAAACCAGAAGAGGACAGATACTCATATCTGTGACTGCTATATCAATTTGGAGATTATTTGGGGTTTTGGTATGTTTTGATGTCCCATTTGGGTACATAAAATGATCAGTAAAGAATAAACTAATTTCTAAAGCTTGTCTTACAATAAATTACTAAAAATCTAAGTATTAAAACATTTTTGAACCATAAACTGTTAGACAAACCTGTTGTACTTTCGTTATCTCTTTCTATGCATCTAAATTATGTCCTGCAGTTTAAAAGTCCTAGTCTGGCTGCCCACTGAAATCGCAAAATTTTTGGGAGTTGTTTCTGTTTCTTGATTTCAGGGGCAGGGAAGAAAGACCACCTTGATGGTTAATTTTAATAAAAGCCAGGAATGGGAGTAACTGGAAGGAAAAGAGCCACTAGAAGGCAGTGTTAACTGGTCAAGGGAGAGAATTTCAAAGCAGAGGCTGATCCGCGGAACCAAATATGGCAGAGATTAAGGAGAAAAGGGAACCAAAAATGATCAACAAGAGTAGGAAGAAATTTGAAATTTAGGATAGTAAAGGAGAGTGAGGAATCATGCTCCAGCAATCAAGCTGCAAAAAGGAGACTGCACAGTACCTCAAAGGAGATGGCAGAGGCTTTTCTCCTTTTATTTGTAATATTAGAAATAACAATTTTATGAAAATAAAATTGAGAGAGAACATGAAAGGGATAGGCAAGATGAGTTCCAGAGTGAGTTGCTGAGATAGTTGGAGGGATGGGCTTCAGAATTTACGTAGATATGATAAAGGGAAAACCTCTTCCTCTAGACCAGTGTTTCTCAAACTGTAGACTGTGTAGACTCTCACTACATGTGAATCATCTGAGTAATACTATTAAAAATACGGATTCCTTGGGCCTACCATGGAATTATGAAATCAGAATTTCTGATGATGGGTCCCAAGATCTTGAAATGATTCTTGATTTTTTGTGCACTGTTCTTCTGCACTAACATATGAAAACCACTGCTCTAGAAACCAAAGAAGAAAAACGACTGAGAAAATAGACTGATGTACAGTGTTATGTGGAGGTGATGCTTTACATGTAATTGAGGATTATGCTAAATGTTTCAATCATTGTTGACTTAAATGAAGGTAAAATTGCTTCTAAACAGGGGACTAAGTAACTTGGTAAAGTGGGAAATTTATCATGACCAAATGTGGACAGCAGGCCCAATCTGGGTGGTGGAAGACTGGGAGAGTTGGCAGTTATATTTAAATATAAATCTAATGTATTTCAAATATAGTTTTTGGATCTTGTGCTATTTCAGATAACCTCTGCCACTACTATCCTCAAGGCCTGTCTAATCCTGACCCCAATATAGATTAGGACTACACATGGCAGTGTCAAATACCAAGGCCACAGCCGTGAGGAATGTCATTACCATACTGGGCACAGAGGGCAAAGGGGACAGTCATAGTGAAAGACATGACAAATTTGGAGAGGAAGAAATAGTTTCCAGTCTCAAGGACACAGGCATACTAGAAATAATATATACATATTATTGTGTATATGTGTGTGTATATATATATATACATATATATATACACACACATATATATACACACACATATATATTATAAAAGCAAGCATATATATATATATATATAGAGAGAGAGAGAGAGAGACATCCATGCGCATCCCTAGGCATTGCTGGTGGGCAAGGTGAATATATATACATATATATACACATGTAAATTACAAAGATATATATATATATGTATATATATATATATAAAGACATAAAGCTTTGCACTTATCTTTTCAGAAAGGAATCACAAACAACAAATCTCTGCACTTTCCTTTTTGTTTTTTCACCTATAGAAAATATTTATTCAATAGAAAATCAGAAAATTACTGTAACCCATGAATTAACAAACATAATGACATTGATCTATTTTAATTACATTGGGTCTCTTATTTTATGTCTCTGACTTTAGAGCATTATCCAAAAAAGTTATATCATTGTATAAAAGATTTTTTTTATTTTAAAATTTACATAATTTTTTCACCCTTTCTTGTTTCCCAAGCTTTCACTCCTGCTTACTATTTTAGGTTTAAAAATAATATCTAATAGCAAAAATACCAAATAACCTTCTACCACTGTCTTTAAACCTCAATTTGTATAGCAAGTCTATCCTCTCTCAAGGGTCTTTGTTTTGTGGTCATTTAGTTGGCTAGTCCTACAAAAAAAATAATATATCAATCTTAAACTACAGCCGTATTTAATTATTATTCAACATTCTGATTTTTTTTTCTAAGTTTCAAACTCCAGGGTTTGAATCTTCCCTCATTGTCTGGCTGTTGCCAAACTGGCATAATTGGTGTTTACAGATGCCAATTTTCTGACCTTCACATATGTCCTATGGAGGATAATTACTGCAAGGGATACCATCATATGCAGGTTTCTTTACTTCTTTACTGCTTTGCATCAAAATACAAACTTTAACAGAACTGATTCAGATGTCTCTTTACCTTTTCATTTGCTTTTACTTCTTCAAAGAGTCAGAAAATAAATCAAATGTAAAGAAACCCCAAATCACTGAAATATATAACTCAGTGACCAAAGCAACAATAACTTTCCCATGTCTAAAAATTTGATAGTAAAGAAACTTCTAAAGGGCATGCTACTTCTCCCAGATTTCTTAGGGTTTGAATCTGGGTGTTTGAGGATAGAGGGAGAATTACGCATAATTTGCTAAGAGAGTGAAGAGCCACACATGAGGCAAAAGGGCTCAGGTATAAAATTTAGACATTGTTAGAAACTGAGGATTTTATGAGACTTTCATGAAGTCTGTAAAATGAGCCCAAGTACCAATGCCCTGAGATTTCGTATCTTCTCACTACTCCCCTTACATTAAAAACCAACCTTATCTTTCCACTTTTCCCACACACCCACTCCACCAACCTCCAGGAAACTCATATTCCACTGAACTGCAATGTAAAGATTGTAGCCTTTCCTCTTATCTCCTGGACTCCACCAAATTCTTATGTCCCAGGACCATGACCCGGTCAGTAAGTCTGGGCCATTTCCCCCCATTTTTTTGTGTGGCAATAAAACCTTTTCTTCTTTTTCTCTTTGGGTTTTGAATTCCCTGCCTTATTATTTCTATGAAGTATTTCCCATTTACCCATTTAGTCATATTTAGAAGGGAGTTTATTTCAGTTTGCCTCCCTGCCTGCATCAGTTTCACGTATCTGCCCTAGTTTGCTTTTTTTTCTCTTTTCCTAACCATAGGCAGAGAATGTTGGAGGAAGGGTAACGTTTTATTCCTTGGTTTTATACTTTTACTTGGGTGCAAATCTAGTCTGAATATGAAAGTTCTGCTTAGAAAGGAAACCACCAATTGAGGCCTCCATAGTCCAGAAATCTCATGTATGCACACTGAAAGGAAGAAATTCTGGGTGCATGCAAAATGAGAAAAATATTTAATTTCAAAAGTTCTTTGACATATTTTATGAAGCTGCATAATTACAACACTAATATCTGTAATTCACATTTGCATAGACTATTTTAAATGGTAGAGAACAATTTGGTAAAATGTTACCCATGTGTACCACCTTACCTCCCAGATACAGCACCTAGTGTAAAATGATATAGGGAAGGCTTTGGAAACACCCGATTTTTGAGGGAGGTAGGCTTCTGTCATCATCAAAAACACATTTTTTAAATGTCAAATGTGTGTAAAATTAAGTCAATCGACTTTGAATAGTCCTATAACCTCAAGGTTAATATTTAGCTTTTCTCAAACCAAGCAGGCCAGTGCGCTGAACTACAGTTGACTGGTGATCATTCCAGCGCGGTGCCTGCTTATTCCCTTTCGGAGAATCCAGGAGCCTTTTGCATTCAAGACAGGGTGCGAGTGAAATGCCAATCTAAAAAGGGAACTCGAAACACTGTTGAGTAGGATCCAATATTAGCCAGAAACCAGATGCCAATGAAATAAACTGTGCTGCCAAAATAATAAGTCTACTAATCACGACGGTGATAAGAGCTTACCAATCTAGTACAACTCTAGAAGAAAGCTGGGCATCCTGGAAAAGAAGAGCTCACAAATGAAACTCACAAGAAAAAGCTAAATCTGGTTAGGTAAGGAACACAATATTAAAAAAACAAAACAAAACATGGAGTGTGCAGAATTCACTCTTTCCCCAAACGGCGTCGAGTTCTTTCACTCTCACAACACTAAATCGGGAACATTGCCCTGGCAAGAATAAGATTTTAGAAAGTGTATTAGAAAATAAGAAAAGTAGGACTTAAACGCTTTAATTTTCTAGTCACTGTCACCTAAAAGTAAAGGTCACCCACCCGCAAGTAGGCATCTCCGACGGCAAAAGAAGCAGCAAACGTCGGGGCGGCAAGATAACAGGGAGGAGTACTCTCAGGAAGCCATTCGAGTTTGCACTTTTTGGCCTCCGTTGGAACAAGCGAGCTAGGACAGGTACCGCAGCTCCGCTAGACAAGGCGGGTCACAAGTTTAAAATGTCCCACTGTTTAGGGTCTGCAACACCCCACTGTCACCTTTTCTGTCTCTCCTTTCCAAGACCCCGTGCCTTTGCCTTTCTTAGGAAATTGGTGAGGTCCTGGTGCCCAGGGGGCGCCTTTTCTGCAAGTCGGCTCCCTGGGTCCCCTCCTGCGCCCGCGGGACACGTCGAAGTCCTCGTCCAGCCCGTTTTGAGAGTTTCCGCTCCCTCCCCAGTGCTCAGAACCCGCCAAAAGAGAGCATTTCGGGGGGCGATGGGCGTCCTCCACTCACCGGCAAGTGGCCCAGATCCGTGACTTCCTTGTCCCTCCAGCCCCCAGGTCCCGCCATGGCTTCGAGCCGAACGGGAGCGGGCGACTGAATTGGGTGCACGCAGAATCTGAGGTGGCAGTGGATGGAGAGTTGAAAGGAGGAGAGGGGAAGGAGTAGGGCGGGAGAAAGGAGTTGGGGGATCGGGGATCCTTGCGTGGAGATAGAGGAGGGGGAAAGTGATATGAAAACAGTTGGGAGTGGAGGGAAACCGAAGTTTGAGAGGCGGTAAACCAAGTTTGGCTAAGGCGAGAAAGGAGCCTGAGAATCCGTCCTGGAGACGAATAAGCTAGAAGGGTGCTCCGTGGCGAGAGCGCTGTGTCTTCCCCGTCAGAGTGCGCCTCTTTCAGGGTGGGGAGGAGGGCGGTGCAAAGAGAGGGGGGCCCGGGAGCAGCTCGAAAGGGATTGGTGCAGCGTCACGTCGCCAGGTGGGCAGCCCGCGGCAGGGAGGCAGGCTAGGAGGGCCACCGGCAGAGGGAGGTGCTGAAGGACTATAACGGTTTGCAAGCACGCCCTCGCTGCCTCCCCCCGCCCTCCCGCCCCCTCCCACGTCCACTGCTGCGCCCGCCGCCCCTGCCCCCGCCCCCGCTGGCGAGTGTTCCACAGGAAACTTTTTCCAGGCAGCTGCCAGCCCCGGAAAACCGGTCCCGCTTCGCGCCGCTCCCAGTCTGGGCCCCACAGCCCTGCCACAGTCCAAACAACCCGCGCCCTAGACTTCCCAAGAAACTCTTGTGACTTTTTTAGTTGTTTTCTCTTTCTGTCCCTCTGATTTTATCGCTCCATTTACTGCAAAGACCCACCGAGTTACAGAGGGAAACTACTTAACACCGGTTTAGGGATCAGTCCTAGGCGAGTCCTCATTCGAGCAGGGTAAGGCACCGAGTGCACCCCGGGGCTGTCACAGTTCGGCCTTCGAAGCCATTAGCCTAGGGCAGGAGCAGAAAGGACAGAGCCGCTGGGAACTCCCTTCCAGCAGGCCTTATCTCCTCTGGCCCTAGGCTAGGTCGTGCCAGGTCCCAGCGGCTCACTGAGAACCGCACCTGAGAAACCGCACCTGTTCTCAGGTGCGCAGTTGAGTAAGACTGTCTCCAAAGCCCGGGCTGCCCTGGGTCCTAAGTTTGCAGACGCCTTGGTCGCAGCGCGCGGAGGAAATTCCTGCTTTCCTTCCAGTCTCCAACATTCCGGGCCGGCCGGGTTTCATTCATTTGCTCATTCATTGCAAAACTTTTCCAAGTGCCAAAGCTGTTTTCCTCCGTTTCCTTTAAAGCGCTGGGGGACTGACACATGGCTTAAAAGAATTTCACAAATGTGATTCAGCTTTGAGAAGGAGCCCCTTGAAACATTCATGGGAATCGGAGTCAGTGCGTAAAACTAACCGCATTCTCGACTGGTGCTCTGCAGAGAGCACTTTAGTAGATTTCCCGACACTGCTTACTTTTTCTGGAGCACCCAGACGGCGTTCTGTACACCTGATCTCCGGGGTCGGCAAGTGAAGTGGGATGACTTGTTTCCTGTTTCTTTCTTTCTTTTTAAATTAATAATTACCTACCTCTTCGAACAAGATGTATACGAATAATTCTTCTCACTGACCTCGAGATCTCCATTTCTGACTCATTCTTCTAATTTATATAATTATTATCTTTACTTATTGGTGGATTTTGTTTATTTCGTGTCTGTTTCAATGCCAGAGTTTGACCTCTTTACATTCGTTAATTTCCAAGCCTCAGTGAGCTGTGTAATGGCCATAGCCTATCTGAGGAACCGGGTCTCGGTAAATAAAATTCTCTTTAACCAGTGAAGAGAAAACCAACCACTACCTCTCCCCCAAAACAAACCCTGGTGTCCTGGATCGAATTTCCTTGATAATTTAAATGTGATACCACCACAGAAATTACATTTTCCAATAATTCAAATCTTGACAGTTTCACCACACAAAATACTCCCTTTTAAAACAACTTTAAGAATTCCTGGATGATCAGTAAAACTATTCTGAATCTTTCTAAATGTGAGTCTGAAATTAACATTTCTTAACTAGAGAAGGGCGGGTGAACTAGTTAGTAGAAAATTACGCTTTTACGTTTAGTTTTTAGAAATAAGACATGGAGTCAAAAAAAATACAACATTTAAAGGAACTCTGAAGAGAATCTTTGCTAAAGGGAAGAACTGTTCGCAAGTCACGACCTTTTTTTTTTTTTTTTTTTGCAATGCGATTTGCTGATCGCGGCGTGTGGGGAAAAATACTCCGTGGCCCCTAATGACAAAGACTGTTTTAGCCTGTCTAAGGGGCAAGTCCAGGCCAGGAAAACAATCCAGACTAGATCATTGAGCTCTCTAGCTGCAAGGGTCTGTGGGAGACTTGCCGCTTCGAGACTCCATAGGGATTAGCCACATCGTGGGACGCCACCCCTCTGGGTGGGGGAGTGGAAACTACATGTTTGACCAGAACTTGACAGAGAACTTACACATTTTAATAGTTATTGTTATTTTCAAGGGGAAAAGGAGGCATGGAAGAGCATAGAAACTTTATCTTGTAAGCTGGCATTATGGGGATTTTTGTGGCCAGCTTGGGGAAGGTCAGCTCCTCTAGCAGAACAGAAGGCAAATAGATGGCCCCTAGGCATGGGGCTGTGCCCTGAGCACAACCTTCAAATAGGGCACTTGTTTTCCAACTTCAGGACTTCTTTTCCTTTCACCCTATTAACCATCATTCCCCTGCCTCCTTCCAACATGTTGTTATTTCTCTCTTTCTTTCTTGACTTCAAACTGTATGAAAATGACCCTAATCTGACCAGGGTCTGGGAATTTCTCAGATTGTGTTTTACCCAGGAATGAGCTCTCTGCCAACATTACATGTCTCATATTTGCACTGTCCCTTTCTTCTCTGATTCATTTTGTTATCGTAAAGCCATTAGCCCTTTGGAACTTTTAAGTGCTGATACATTGTAGTAGCTAAAATTGATTAAGTGCTTACTGTATGCATCTAAGTGATTTGCATGTATTATCTCATTTAATTTTGTTGACAATTATTCTAGGTTTCAAATTTTTGTCCCCAAGTGTTTAGTCAAGGAAATTGAGGCACAGAGAGATGAAGTAACTTACCTAAAGCCTCACAGCTAGTGATTGGAAGAGCCTGGCTTCCAACTCAGGCAGTCTGATTCCAGAGCCCACTTGTCAATGACTGTTGAAAGGCCGGTGCATATTTTGAGATTGTGTGAAGAGGAGCCAAATGCAAAAAAGCTTGGGGTAAGAGAGATCAGATAACATTAGCTAGGCTCCTGAGCTATCCAGTTCTCCCTTCCCCTTTCAGCCCTCAAGCCCTCCTAACAGAAATAACGTGGGATTTATAAAAAGAAATGGAACCCAGTCATAGCCTAAGAGTAGCTAGTGACTGCTTGAGCAGATATAACCAAGTGGATCACCTCAAAGTGCAAATCATGGATTTCAAGCTAAAAAACTTCCAGAAAGTAAAACAGTGACTTTTAACGCTAAAAAAATTAAAATATATTCCCATTCCTTCTTGTGAGTTTTTTGGCTGGAAACAAACCTTATTCAGTAAGACTTGAAGGAGGCGGTGTTTGTGAGCAATTGTGCTTAAGAGAACTGAGATGTTACATGGCAAGGTTACAGACAGTAGCTCAGTTGGTAGGAGTACCATGGACATGGTGCCAAGGGCATGGGTTTGATTCCCTAGAGGACCAGTATGCATCTCTCTGCTCTTTGGCCCTTGATAACAACTCCCCTCTTGCCAACCCGCATACCTTTTACTGGAAAAACCACTCCAAAGTCAGTACTTCTATCTTTGTATACAAAGAACCACATGTTCATTTTGATATATAAGTTGCTAATCACATAATCTGAAGAAATTACGCTGCAAGGACGTGTGTATTATGAAAAATACAGATTCAAAGTATTCTTGGTTGTTTCTTCTTTTGACATTTACACATTTAAGATTGACAATATATATCTTAATAGACACTTAATTAAAAAACTTGTTTAAATTTGTTTAAAATCTCACGAAACAATTAAAATTTTCAAGCATACTAAAAAGGTCTGTCATTTGCTGGTTTTCCTCTACTTTGACACCTCATATATAAAATTGAGCTCTTCTGGTAGCACAAACTTGCTGTCGACATTACCAGGTCCTGGGTGGCAGTGGTAACATAAGTTTACATAGCAATCTTTTTGAAAAGAAGAGTATCACATCTGTGATTCCAAATGTTTCAGGTCCAGTATCTCCCAATATATTGTGAGTGGCTAGGTACTCTATTTGAAAGACCCTCAAGAAGTCCTAGTAGAAGGATAAAACTTTTGGGAATCACTAAGCTAAAGGACCTTTTTGAGGTTTTCTTTCTGCTTTTTGGAGACAACTTTGGAAGCTGTAGGATTTCCACCACAGTTCGTAACACTACTGGCACCGTTACTTTTGACTTTTCTTACAAGCCACTTCTCTGGGGACAAAGCAACAAGCTACCTAATATTTCTCAGGCTACAGGTCCTGAAATGTGCCTTCCGACCATAGTTTGAAAAGATTCTGTTGCTTGTCATGGAATGATCTTAAGCTCAGCATGATTTGAGCTATGCTTGTTTCTAAAATGGGGCCCTGGAAACCTGATCCTAGCTGAACATGGGGCTCCCTGCTATTGAAAACTGGAATGCTACTCTAAAAAAAGACAATTGTTTTATAAAGACAACTAAAACAGGGAAATTAAGATTAAAAAGTCAGATAGAATTCTGAAATTTGAAAAAGACTTCCTTTTTTTTTTCCTTAGTCTTTTCTATCTTTGGAGGCTATAACATCCTCCTCCAGGAATTTCCAGCCCAGCAACTTGAGGCTACCCATCCTTCCTCACCTGGAACAGAGGCACATGGAAATTTATTTACTGTGACACTAATGAAGTTCAGCTTCAAGGCCTCTCACTTGCACTTCCAGTGCCCCAGGAGTGGCCCTAGTAATTCTGTATTGCTAATTTTATATTCCTTACTTTGATGTGGGCTCCTCAAATTATAAAAGCTTCAGACTCAACAAAACTCAAATTTGTCCCTGAATGCACAACATCTAAAGAACACAGTAAACTTGAATTATGTGTTTGTATGTGTACAATCTCCATAAATCACTAAGGTTTGACAAAGAAGGAGTTGCAACTAGCAATTCACAACTAGAGAATATGTACTTTTAAAAGAGAAACATCCCAGAGTAGCAAAGGCTGGATAGCACTACTCATCTATGTAGAGAGGAATATATCACTTAAGCAGGATAGATATCCTTTTAGTTGAGGATAAAATGTGAAGAGGAAACAGAAGGAATATTGTTAAGAGTGTATGTTACAGACAGATAACAAGAACGATATGGGCAATACTTCTTAACTGCATATCACAACAGTAGAAGAAGGTAATAATAGTCTACACCTTTTCTATCCAATCATATACCACCACCACTAC